CTGACCATTGTCTGATGACCACACTCAGGAAGATATATATAAACAGGAAAATTTCCCGCGCATAAATAGTTTTTTATATTTTCTTCGCGCACGCGTTCGATGAACAGTTTTGAGGCAAAATAAAAGAGTAATGGAGGTACATAAAGAAGAAAGTTTATTTTCCTCAAGATTAGCATAACATACCATTTAAAATACTTATGTTTTGAAAACAATATCAGAAAGATGGGGTTTGTTAGCTGCATCACACTGTTGGAGTTGTTCTTGGAAGTTTTCTACAGCACGTTCACACATATGACAAGGTATGGCCATAGCCTCTGCTGCAATAATCCATTCCCTTAGCTGTGGTAGGGTGTGCGGGCGACTTCTGAACCCCTTTCTTTTAGATGTCCCCAAAGAAAGAAATCGCAAATGCTCAGATCGGGTCACCTCGCAGGCCACTGTAAATTGCCCCTCATAGTCTGGGAACATGCATTTCAAAACATTGAGTGACATTCGGGCTGTGTGAGCTGTAGCCCCATCCTGCTGAAACCACACGTCTCACAATGCTTCATTTTCAACAATGTTTTCCATCAAGGGCTGCAAGAAATTTTGCAACATTGCAGGTTAGCAATTGGAATTCACTGTTAGGGTTAGGTACTCCCTCCTCTGAGAACGACTCCAACAGTGTGTTGCAGCTCATCTTCCAGATATTGTTTTCAAAACATAAGTACGGTACCTATTCTAAATGGTATGTTATGCTAACCTCTAGGATAATAAACTTTCTTCTTTATGTACCTCCATTACTCTTTTATTTTACCTCAAAACTGCTCAATTGGCTCTGCCCCATCCTGTATATTGAGAGGTTGAGATTGTATTGACCTTTTAGGCAATTGAAAAGATTTTCCACCCTAATACAAGTATTCTAATTAAAATATTTAATTTCAATCTTTAAAATATGTGAATTTAAAACTAGAAACAAAACAATTACAATTATAAGACTATTTATAAAATAATGAAATGCAGTGAATGGATATAAAATATTTGAATTGTGCACATGTTTATTGCAAACAGTGTTAGCTTTTCTCATAATTTAAGTCTCATTTCAAGTTGTACGAGGTTTGTTTGGTTATCGTTCAGTTTATGTTTAGTATTGGTTTATTGGTCTGAATTAAATGGGAACAGTGCAGTCAGTCACTCAGTCACTACTAGTCAGTGTATATATAGGGTAGAGTCTATAGGACATAAAACTGGTAGATCTATTGATAGTGTTGTGCACTGTGCTATCAGCTACTGTACCTATCTGTTATGTGACTCTTCAGTGTTTAGAAGATCTGCATTCCTGAAGTGTTTTTGTGTATTGAAGCCAGTTAAATGGTCAATATTTAGCTCATTACCTTGCTCCACACAAACTTTACAAAGCTAATGAATAGACTTTTCAATAATCATTTACCCAAAAATCCCTAAGTGGTTAACACCACCTTGGCCTGTTGGCCATTATTGAAGGCAATAAGTGCCCTTTTTAGCCATCCATTATGATCCATATACTGTTATTGTTAGTAGGCTAATTGCAACATAAAAAAGGACACTTCAAAAAGACAAAAAAGCTGAAAAATCAAAAAAATAAAAAAAAATCATGAAAAAATAAAAAAAATCATTGATTTTTGATTTTTTTAAAAAAATCAAAAAAATCGCCAACCCTGGTCTGTAGATTTCAAGTAATGCTGAACGATCTTCAACTTTGAGTGTGATGTGTCCCTCTGAAGCTATTCTCATTTTTATTAATGTTTGTTGTTTGCCTCTATAATTAACCTTCATTGTTGCAATAAAAATGAAAATTTATTATCAAGATAGATTTCTTCCAGTGCCTGTGTTTTTTTTATGCAATTGGCACTTATTATTTGCGGTGTGGTTCTTTAATCTTGACTTCTGCAGTTCGCGCAATCCCGGCCATCAATTCTACGCCGCACAAGAGCAGTTTGTGGAGGAACAGACGCAATACTCAGTACAGTATGCCTTTAATTATCCTTCAATAATATATGATTTTTCTTGATACGGAAATTTGGTGAATGAGAAATCTAGAACTTTATTTTGGAAGAAATTATCTCCGAAGTCATATGGCAACACTGAACACTGTATTTTTACATTTCATATGTTTAATAGCCGCAGTTTACGATTACCGTATGTTCCGTATCCGACAAGCAGAAGAGTCAGAAGTAACCCGGAGTCCCAGACATTTCTTACGTCTTATTATTGTTAGTTCGACTTGCATAGTTGATATAAACTTTGATGACCAACAAAATATAACTTTTTAATAGGGAAACTTCATGTTTATTATACTATAAGTAATGATCTTTATTTAATTATAGCCATGTTGAAATGTTTTTTTTTGTGAAGCCTGCTCCTAGATCATTAATGTTTTTATATACATCCTCATATTGTTAGGGACGCTCGCCGCTTCCATCAGATCTTAAAATGTAAAAGTTTAATAGATACAGATTTGTATGAATAATGCCATTCAATATTGTTAGCTACATTAAATTGAGGGTGGAACATTGGAATGGCAATGATTAATTTATCTAAAGCAACCTTTACAAAATTAGTGTCGAACAAGCAAATGGATGTCATGTCAACCGGAACTCGAACACCACAGCAGAGAGTATTTTATGCAGCTAATGAATTTTGCAAACTTTGCTGGAGGAGAGATTATTGAATTGTTGAAAAAAGGCGGGATAATTCAATGAAGGGTGGTGGCAGAGCTGCAATCTTGATACTCTATTGCGATTCGTGCTATGATAACCTACGTAACAATTTTCATATAATAGTTATAATTTTTGCACATTCAAAGTACGCATGACATAACATAACGCTCCCAGATTTGGAAACCATAATTGCTCAAATGAAGCAAAAATAAATGACAGACCATTGACTTATCTTGCAAATATATATATTCATATTTTGTATCACATAGCATAATTACGCTCTGTAATTATGCCATATTGACCTAATTTGTATAGTCCAGTTATTAGGTATTGATCGTGTCGATTTCGCCAGCCGGTAGGATGTCGGTAATGTAGTCCCTACATTGGCATGCAGGATCGTACTGTTGACGTACAGGTTCATACCCTACTTGCCACAACCAGTTCAGTCATTCATTAGATTATGATTAGAAGGCACCGATGGAAAATCTAAAGCCATATTGCCTTCTTTAGTTCTGTAATTCATGTCCGATTGAATTGTGATCTATGAATGAATATTCATTACTGTGCTGAATCTTAGAACCTGAGTCCTGAGTTGACTCATTAGCAATCTAGGCAACTCATATCAAACCACAACACAATGCGGATACACGTTTGTGTGTATGGTTGACAGTGTAATTACGTAATTTGCGTTGCCGCGCGTCCATATTTAAACTATTTTAGCTTTCTAAAAGTACGGCGCACAGCGCATTTTTTTACCAGCATAGTACAGCGCACCACGCAGGTTGTTAAAATGACAATATAAATTCCCGCGCACCTGGCACATCTTCCTGACCATGGTCTGATGATTGATTTGGCCGATGCCCAACAATGATGCACGCACTTGCACAATTGATGCAGCTGTTGCTCAATGATTGACATAGACGCCTGCTCTTTACAATCAATGATCAACACGGATGCACGCATTTTACGATCAATGTGGCCAACTCTCACGCTTCACGAACAATGCGGTATGATTGACATGGATTCACACATTTTACGATCGATATGGCTGATGCCCAATAATTGATTCTGACTCGCGCTTCACGATCAATGCGGCCAATGCCTGATGATCAACACCTACACACCTACTTTACAACCAATGTAGTCAATGCCTGATGATTGACGCGGATGCACGCATTTTACGATACGGTCTACGCCAGATGATCGGCACAGGCACGCGCTTAACAATCGATTTGGCCAATGCCCGATGACTGACGCATGTGCTTTGCGATTGATGTGACTGATGCGCAATGATGAACGCGCTTTACAATCAATGTGGCATAACACTACATAACATGACATTGCATCATAACACAAAACATTACAACAAATATTATTATAACACAACACATCATTACATAACACCACACATTATAGCACAACATATCATAACCAAGTGCATTATAATACATCCTAACCTAACCCAACATACTGTAACACAACATAACATAACAGAACAAATTGTAACAACATAACATAACTCCACACATTATAATGCAACATAACCTAACACTTTACATTATTATAACATAATATAAAACATCGTGATATAACACTATACATTGTAACATAAAATAGAACAATAAAAAAATTATACCAAAAAATATAACAGAAGCACATTGTTTACACAACATATCATGTTACAATGCATTATAAGACATTATCACTAAACCTAACACATTATTACACATCACAATGTAACACCAAAGATAATAATATAACATAACATAAGATAATAAAACAGGACATATAATAACACAACATAATATAACAGGATACATAATAACACAACACATCATAACATAAGACAACACATAAAACAAAACATAAACCATTATTATACATATCACTACAGAACTCATTATTACACTACACAACATAACAAAAAAATATCACACATCGTATCATGGCACAGTATAACATAACACATTATAACACATCACAACACTTATTACAAATCCTAATATAAACCAATGCATCATAACACAACATAATCTGTTATGTTTTTTTATGTTCTGTTATGTTATTTTCTGTGCTGTGTTATGTTTCCAATATGCTATGTGTACTGGTTAATTTAATGTCAGAATTCCACACTGGCTGGTATCAATACTTGACTGGTCTACTTAGAGGACTCAAAAATAAACTTGAGGAAGCATCTAAAAAAGTCTTGACTGTGCCACTATATATGTTACATACTACCTTCATATATTTCTAACTTGTGACTGTTACCTCTCATTTATGTATACGGTATATACTTCCTTCATCAAAAACGTTCTGTTTCAGAAATTTGGTGGGTGAATTATGCCTTCTTATGGCAAGCACATGCCTTGTGCTGTTGAAGATTGCGATCATCATGTTGATGAAGACAAACTGCAATTTCAGTTGCTGGGTGAAGGCAATGACAACTGTGTTGTCAGTATTATTGGCACTGTGAGTATCAGTATTATTGGCACTGTGAGTATCATTAATTCTGAGTAAACTTGGTTAGATTCTTTGGGTTTCCTTCAGTTCTTGTATGTTTTGTTTGTCATGATGCATATTACAAATCTGGAACACTCATTTGATTTGGTTATTATCCCATATTATCTCAATGAAGTTTAAATTGATAATTGTGTTCAAATTTTAATCATTATTGAAGAACTTTTTCATACCATATTGTAAGAGAACTATTGCTTCATTTACACCCTGAATTTATATCAAATGGTGTGTTTCTTTTTGGACATCAATTCCTGATTTTGCTATAATGTTTTGTGAATTGAAAGTGAGAACAGCTGCACTCTTTAATGATAATGTACAAGCCGAAATTTAATCAAACTCGTACTTTAATCTTTGTAAGTGCTGAAGAAGTGATTTTTATATAATATATTGCTGACTAGAATATGGATGAGTGTGACCAATATTTACCAATGATGCCAGAAATTATTGGAAAAGTTAAATTTTGTGTTACAACAGGTGCCAGTGGTTCTAAGTACTAGGTAACCTTCTTATATGTATTGCTGAGTCATATGAAAAATGTGATATGTATCTATATAGTGATTTCTATTGTTCAGGGGATGGTGATTCGCTTGAAGAAGGTTGCAGTTGATAAAACTCGTGCTCTACCTCATGGCTCCTGCTCTGCTGGATGTAAAGCCAATTCCTCTCAAAGATCAAATGTGTTTAATAAATGCAACGAGTCTAAAAGTAGTGCATTAAAATGCAGTTATGGAAAATTACCTGCTACTTATTCATCTGTGCATAGATGTGTCAAAAGAATCGATCTATGTGGTGATAAATCAGTGCCATCTTGCCCACAATGCTGTCTAATAAGACAGTGTTGCAGAGATTTAGCTTTTCTCAACCACATTGCTTTTTCTTTTTTTGGCCCAAGTTTGGTGAAGCCTGGAAGACTAGTGAGATTAAGTTTAAACACAATGCAGTCTATTGAAAAGCAGCTTCAACACACTCGAGAAGGTTTGTTTGGTGTTTTTTTTATTGTTTCTAATAGTTCTTGATCTCTGAATCATCTTTATCTTATTACTGTATTGTTTTTTGATTGTTATATTATGATTGATAATTACCTACTCAAGTTTAGACTCTTGAATTTTTTTTGGTGTTACAATGTGCTTTTTATCACAATATATTAAATGCTTCTTATCATGAATTATTAAACATTTTTCAGAGGGAAGATTGCACAAAACCATCAATCCATATGGCATTGCTATCCTCTGTCCTGATGCATCAACAACTTTTCACGGATGCCATTCAGTTTCATCGGCTGTGCAACTGTGCTCTGTTCATAAAAATATTTGCCATGACACAAAAACTTCTCTGCCCATACATGTTACACCTGAATATTATTCATACATACATGAGGAAAATCATCCATCTCAGTGCCAGAATTGTAGACGTAAACACAATCCTGCATACTCCCCTAGCAACTGTAAATGCTCTAAGTTCTTTAAGAATACAAGTATCTCTTTGGAAAAGAAATTGGAAAGCCTTGATTCTGATTCAATCATGGCCAACATAAGCTCTTCTGTTCCCCTACATAAAGTTTTTCCTATAAATAATTTGCATTTGTTGACTGATGAGGAAATTAGAGCCAAAAAAGTTGTAGAAAAGTTAAAGGTACAGAAATTTCTTGCACAGTTGTATGTGGATGATAAGATAAATGCTCATGGCCCCAAGTGTATTCCACTCTCTCTTGATCCCTGTTATTTGAACCACAAGGAAAGCCAGTTGAAGCCATTCCCAAATATTGGCTATGAAGATGAATTGTCCACAAGCTTGCCTATCACTAGTAACTTAGGTCTTCACAAAGCTCAAGTTGTTGGAAATTCAAGTATTCGGAAGCTCACACTGGAAAACACCATTGGTTTTGCATCCAATATCTGTCAAAGAGAAAAAAAATTCTGCAATTCAAAGCATTTTAAGGAAGACTCGTTCCAAGAAAATCCAGATAGTCACCCGCAGAGAAGCAATGACCGGAAAAAAATTCCCTCTGACAATAAGCAAATAGTTGGAGATCTGAACTATTCTCAGGCTAATCCTAAGATCAGAGAAGCACGCAAGCCTGTCACTCTCTGCGTGGAGCTTAAGCCTAAACAGGGCTTCCTAGAGCCAGTGGATGACGAGTCCATGCTTCTGTGTCGCTTTTGCCTGAAACAATTCATTAAGGTCAGTAAATTATGTAATTTACTTGAAAAACCTTGCTCGTTGGATTTAATACTGCATGCATTTATATTCAAGATACTGATCATTTCAAGTTAGTAGTAGATGGAACGTAAGTAGTAGATAAGTAGTAGATAACTACATTCCTAACAGATGTGAGGAATGTAGTTATCTACTAAATTTTATTCTTACATGTAAAACTACAAAACTTTGTAAAACTATTAACTTTTATTCTGATATCAGTCTAGGCTCTGTTACTTTCAACCACTTTGTTATGTGTTGTGTTCATAGAAGTAGAACAGAACTTTGCTCATTGTGTGCTAGGAGATACTCTAATCATTGTCTCTCTATAACCAATTCATAAAAAGCAATTATTTTGTGAATTATAATTATATTAATAATTATATTGTAATTAATAATTATGTTTTTTTAATTTGCTTTGTACCTATAGATAAATTTCATTTGAAGGAAAATTAAAGTAGGTAGTATTTATATTGAGGCCTGAAATTATCAAAACAAATAGTTTTTGAAAATATTTTATTTATTTTTACAATGAAATTTTTATTTCAGTGTTCTAGAGGTGAGCCACAACCACACAGCAACTACTGTCCTTTAGAATTCTTCTCAGGGTAAGTAATTATTAAATGAAAAACTTGAAGTTTATTAAATATTGTGTAGCCTCCACAACTTTTTTTCCGTACGTATGTTACACATACAATTGAAACTTGAACAAGATTATGAGATGCTAATAACCATTGACTGGGTTGTTTACAATAAATATTAATCTATATTTTGTTAGAAATTTAATGTAGAAAAAGATTATAATAGATCTAAAAAAATATTTCCTAATAATCCATTTCTGAAGGATAATCTGAGTTTAATGGTCTTGATTTATTAAGTATAAGTACTGTGGCCTTACATGTGAGTTAGTTCACATCATACTTTTTGTAGTCATAAAATGTGTTCACATTTACCAGAAATAAATAAAAAAAGAATTTATCCTCTGCTTAGCGTTTCCTATAAATTTACTATAATTAATTAGGAAGCGTAATGAGGTTTAATTAGCTCAGGCGTGAGGAAGAGGGTAGTTATGATGCTGTAAAAATTTGCATTTAAAGTAATTTGTTGTTTTACAGAAGATTGAAAGATTCAATTTGTTATCAGCTATTGTTGGTGGTAATTTTTTATCATGACAATATTATAACAAATATTTTGATGACAATATTATAACAAATATTTTGTCATGTTTAGTTTTTAGTTACCGTATATTTGTCATAATAGTTTATCTTGTCATCTGGCATGTCACCATCACTGTGCTCACACATTGTACTAGTGAAACATTGTTTTGCATCATAATCAATAATTTAAATCTGGGATCAAACCAGTTGTATTGATCACTATTGTGAGCACAATTATTGCATTATGACTAATAATATTTATATATTTGCAGCTTTATTCATTTGTTATATATATAACAAATATCACAATATAACAAATATAACATATATACCTATATAAATATATGTTAAAACAAATATAACAATAATTATAAATATGTATTCATATATATTTTATATTACAATATATAATATTTAAGTATATATATCATATTTAATATAATTTTGTACAGGGACGTGAAGCGCATGGCAGCAGCTGTGCAGCAGCTCTTCGCAGCGCCTCAAAACAACCTCAGGATATTCAAGGCAATTATCTCCTATGCTCCATGCCGTGGATATATCCTTAATTGTTGCCCAGTCCTTTCATTAATTATTAATAAATATTATAATCTTAACCATTATGGTAATTTTTCAAGGCAATTCTCTCCCATACTCCATGCAGTGGATATATCCTTAATTGCTGCCCAGTCCTTTCATTAATAATTAATAAATATTATAATCTTAACCTTTCAGTTAATTTTTCAAGGCAATTCTCTCTCATACTCCATGCAGTGGATATATCCTTAATTGTTGCTTAGTCCTTTCATTAATAATTACTTAATATTATAATCTTAACCATTCAGTTAATTTTTCAAAGCAATTCTCTCCCATGCTCCATGCAATGGATATATCCTTAATTGTTGCCCAGTCCTTTCATTAATAATTGATAAATATTATAATCTTAACCATTCAGTTAATTTTTCAAGGCAATTATCTCCCATACTCCATGCAGTGGATATATCCTCAATTGTTGCTTAGTCCTTTCATTAATTATTAATAAATATTATAATCTTAACCATTCAGTTAATAGTATGAATATTTGGCATAGAAGATGTGTCAAATTTGTAGGTATATAACGTATGCAATTGTAGCTTACTGCTCCAACTAAAACTAGGTACTGATATATCCAGATTTAGTGGATATTTCAGCAATATATCTTCACTGGATAATGGATATCTCCTATTTATGTTCCCATTGCATATTATTATTTATCTTTACTGCGTCTGAGTGATGTCTTCAAGTGAAATATTCTCATTAAAATGTAATAAAATTAGGCAATTAATTCCCTTCTTATGTTGATCTTCAATTTAATAAAGAAAAATATATTAAATTATTAATAGAATTTATAATTTAATAAAATATAAAAATTATACTATAGAATTTAATAAAAGATAAAGACATTAAATTATATTAAGTAAATTAATTGATAAATAAATAATTGATGCTGTCTCACACAGGATGGTGTGGTGGTGGAGGACCTTTCTCAGTACAGGTACCATTTATTATTATTATTATTTACTTTTTATTCTTTATCTATTCCCATCTATTTCTATTTACAATGTTTAATTCTCTTGGATAAATTTTTCTCCTTAAATTATCTTCTTAGTTTATTTGTTCTGTTTTCAGACTCAGTTTTCCAACTCTTAACAAGACTAGTTTATATTTGTATAGAAATTATTTTTGTTTTCCTGGGAAGAGTGTTTTTTTTAGTTTAAAATGTTCCATGCCTGAACTGGTTTGCCACAATTAATTAACTTGAGTATTCTAGCCTATTTCTAAAAAAATATTATATGTATATGATAACAAATAATTGAATTATTAACCAATTAACTTGAGAATGTTGCTTTCTCAACGGGTTTCTCGAATTGTTTATCTAATATATTAGTCTTGCCTGTAGTAATTTAGCTTAGGAGTTACCATCCATCGTATCGCGGAGGTATTTATTTCTGTATTTTTTGTTGTGATGATTTGAAATTTTCTTGTCATATTGGATCAAATGGATAAAAAATGGTGACTTTATTTTTGTGTGATTAAATTTGATTAAATGGATAAAAAGTTATAACTTTATTTTTTGTGTGATTAAGTTTTATCCTGGTCTTAGAGGGTAGTGACTTGTATATACTATTTTCATGAACTATTGGACGGTATACTGAAACGTTGTATTCAACTAAAATTGGAAAGCAACTTGTTCTTCAAAACTTTTGCAATTTCTTTAATTTTTCATAATCTCTTTCCTCAGTCTGGATGATGCTATCCATAAGTTCTGTGATGGCAATGATTTCAGAATATGTGTCGAGATATGATATAAGTATCGGTCAATTTTTATAAGTATAAGTTTCTCAAAGTTCTAAGTTTCTATATGGCAAGTTTCCACTTATATGTTTTGTTTGCAGTTACTTGAGTGAGGTTATACCGTGCGTGCTGCTGTCAGCACCTGCAGCAGCACCTGCAGCAGCACCTGCAGCAGCACCTGCACCAGCACCTGCAGCAGCACCTGCAGCAGCACCTGCAGCAGCACCTGCAACAGTTTCGCCATCTGAGGTCCCAGTTTCGCCATCGGTCTCAGTTTCGCCATCTGAGGTCTCAGTTTCGCCATCTGAAGTCTCAGTTTCGCCATCCGAGGTCTCAGTTTTGCCATCTGAGGTCCCAGTTTCGCCATATGAGGTCCCAGTTTCGCCATCTGAGGTCCCAGTTTCACCATCTGTCTTCAATTTTATGACTCCCGATATCTCTGCTTTACCTTCTCATGTTTCCAATTCTCCTGATTTTAACAATTTGCCTTCTGAAGCTTCCTGTCTTTCAAGTACGCCTTCTTGCCTCTCTTTGACATCACATCTTTCTTCTTTGAATCGCATCCCTTCCAACGTCAATGCTTCCAGGTGCCAATTCAATAATTCAATTTCAAAAAATGTCACTTTACAACCTAATAGGAACAATTTCGAACAAATTACGCCTTTAAAATCCAATCCCAATAACAATGAAGTTTTACCCCACCTTGTTCTTGGTAATACACATTCGCAGGCGTCGTCTGGATCCTTGTCCACTTTAATTGCACTGCACAATTCAACTTGTCAGCCCATTTCCACCTCGGTTGAAACCTATAGTCCTAGTCCTACCTCGAACTCTGCTTGTTCTTCCGTTTCTGAGCCTTTTATGCACGATGTGTTAAGTAATATATCTGGCATTAAAAAAAGTTCTGTAGTACCAGAACCTTCTCCAATGCCGTCTACCGTGCTGAAAAAAGCTTTATTAGAGCCTTACATTGACCAGTGCTTGGTCAATGTAATTCAGTGCCAAGTTAAAAGCCTAGAAGGAACATCAAATTCTCCGAAAAACGCCTCTGTAGACGAAGACAGCGGCAACAGCAGCGATGGTATATCAGAGGATGAGGTTACATTAAGTGAAGAATCGAGGAAAAGACTCAGCAAATCTAATGCACCTGCAAATTTCAGTTCAAAACTCTCTAGCGATTCTCTCATTTCCACATCTTCTGACTGTAGTTATGCACTAGAATTTCCCGATAAGAAGACTAGTATCTCCCTACCCAGTGACATGTCTTCAACTGAGCAACCTGTTGTTTATTCTTTGGGATTTGGTCCCGGTGAGTCTTTCAGAAGTGAAAGTTCAATACTAGGATGCCAATCAACATTCGATAACAGTTTTTCTAGATTAGGTTCTGTGAGTACAGAATCCTTATGCACAGAAACTGTATACTGTACATTGGAAAATGAAAGAAATGTAAGCAACGCTATCAGTTCTGTGCCTACTCTTGGTGAATGTGCGAGTGTCTGTTTGACTGATTCTCAAAAGGAAAATTTGTGTTTCTCAAGTAAAAAGCTCCAAACTAACAGTATTAATAATGATCTCATTAAGACGACCGACCAAAATACTGCTGCTCAGTGCTATGTTCTCCATGAAAATGTTGATGGACAACAGCTCGGGGTTAATACTTCATCTCCGAGTTCAAGGGAACAAATGAAGTGCGTTTTGCCTCCAAATTCGATTTTGGAGAAGGTGTATCGATCCCAACAGTCTGAGTTATGTGTCGTCAAGGCTTTTGAAGCGTTAGAGCGTCTTATTGCTATGGTTGGGGAGGACCAAGCTTATGAACTTCTTCGTGTGGTTCCTGATGGTGCAGGTAACGATGTCTGTCAGGTTATTGAAGAAGACGGCTGTACGTCTTTGCAAAGTTGTTTAGAAATGGGAAAGAATTTAGATGCAGACAAGAGTGTATCTCCGTCTTATTTGATCTCTCCCCCAGTGCATTCTTTTGGAAGGAACTGCCTGAGTCCTTTTTGCACTCAGGAAACTCGGTCATATTCCTTGGATCTCTCTAGATTAAATAGTTGTGACTTGAGGGAATCTTGTGTCAAGGACCTAACAGAATCCTTCTTTTGGCATTCTTGCAATTGTTGTGTAGGACTCCAAAACCCGTATTGTGCCTCTAAATCACAACACCTCCATGACGAGGAAACTAAAAACATTTCTGTTTTTAGATCATTTGAACATGGCAAAGTCGGATTGCGTCCCGCATCTTTCTTTTGCTGTGAACGTCACTGCTCGCCTCGTGAGACGAAGTGCTGTGATCTCGCTTCTAAAATGACAAATAGCGCAAACAAGGAAGCGCTTAGAACCTCCACTGTTTCTTGCTGCAGTGTTTGTAAAGTTCTGTGTAAGAATCTCAATTGTAATATAGAATCTCAATCCGTATCGGATGATGCCAGTTTCCCGGAACTTCTCCCGATTAGTGAAGTGATCTCCGAGTGTGATGAGCTTGTAAGTTCTCCTCATTTCGATCCTATTCCCAATGCGCTGCAGTCACCGTTCGTTGAAAGAGAAAATGGTTTAAAAAAATTATTAATGGACGACTCCTCGTCTGCAATGCGGCACGAAGCAGGCATTCTGGTGTCACAGGTTCAAGAGTTCCTGAAGGGCCTTACGTTCAAAGACTGCAGTCTCATGATCCTGCTATCTGGTCCTTAATTAGTGATGTTATGTTAGTGATATTGTGTTAGTGATGTTATGTTGGTGATGTTATGTTAGTGATGTTATGTTGGTGATGTTATGTTAGTGATGTTGTGTTGGTGATGTTATGTTGGTGATGTTATGTTAGTGATGTTATGTTAGTGATGTTATGTTAGTGATGTTATGTCCTATTCTTCTAGCTGTGATTGTTAGGATGTCTACAAAACAAAACTGTCGAAAATTCGGAAACTTAGCTGATATTAATCTAGTGAATGTAGAAACTGAAAAATGAATGTAAAAACTGCATCAATCAATGTTATTCATCTTTCCACCTACATCAGACAAAACGATCTCTCAGTTATTGCCTTGTACAGAACCTTCCAAAGATATTCCTCGCACGGCCCAGTCTTCGTCACAGTTTCGTGCGCAGGCTGCATTTGATCTCTCACTTTCAGTTCAATCACAGTACAATCTTGGTCATGATAGTGTACAGAACAAATATAGTTTACAGTACAATGATAGTGTACAGAACAATGATAGTTTACAGTACAATGATAGTGTACAGAACAATGATAGTTTACAGTACAATGGTAGTTTACAGAACAAAGATAGTTTACAGTACAATGATAGTGTACAGAACAATAATAGTTCTATATACAATGCTAGTTCACAGTCCCATGATTGTTCTATATGCAATGAAAGTTCAGAGAACAATGTTGCCAAGAATTCCTTGCTTTCAAACCCCGTTCCCTCCTCATCTAAACCGTGCGCTTTACCCTCCGTGGCATCCTGCGTGTTCTCCCCCTCCGGCTGCCCGTTATGGGTGTCCACGCCCCTAGGTTGGTATCTCTGCCAGGTGACAGTCATTGATCTGGTCAGCAAGGACCCCAGTAAAGTCAAGTTACATTATTCGGCCGTGCGTGAACTGCAGCAACTCGTCTTGCGTAAACAGCAACTGGATGAACCGCTGCCCAAATGTTGCCTTCTGCCCTGAATACAATATTCTACTCGAAGGAATATTGTAGTGTGTCGAGGAATATTGTACTCAGAGATGTAGAAAGCAAGGAATATTTAAGTGGACCCAGAAAGGAATATGTACAAAGGAATAGATAAGACTTTGGAATCAATGAGAAATTGTCAAATAGCGATGCACTTTTGGCCCTATTTTTAATCCTCATGATCCGTCAATGTCCAGCCTTAGGGCGGATCAGGGTTACGAGCGGAAAGTATGTCACTATTTAGACAAAAAGACCCATCCATTTTTTAATGTATGTTTCCCAATGCCAATGCTTTTACCGCGATTTTAGTTTTGATAGTAAATAAATCGAATTATTCTGTTATCTCTGGTACTGGTGTTTACTGATTGTTTGCTCCAATTGGTTTTTCAAGGAGGTTGTGCACGGAGACAGGAATGGCGGCCACTCTAACTTCTAAAACGCTAACCGCCACTGATTATCTGACTACTTGCCTCGTGTAAAAGGTTACTGGGTCCTTCCGTGGCCACTAACGCCTATACACTAGGCCAGTACTACGGTAAACAGTGGCAATCAGTATTTGGAAATTTTGCTGGTCTCCACTATTGGTGCCTTTTGCAAACTTCTTTTATTAATTTTTCATTTACGATTTGTTAGCGTAAATGCCGCCCTCTTCCGTCAAAATGTAGCCTCCTTTCCGTCCATTAAGAGTTTTTAGACCCTCTTCAGTTCTTTTAGCAATTTACTTGTTTTAATCAACTGCAAGTTTATTATTTATTACCTCCACTCATGCAGAGACACTCATGCCAATAATTTCTAAGTCTCTTCACTGCCAAATAATTGTTATCATCAAAGTATAGATGACAGGTTCGATCCTTGTGAGCAGCCAACGAACTGGAGACTCGTAAATTTAGTTGGCTGATACATGTAGTCAGTTCTGCGCATTTAGTTCTAGAAGAGTGCTATTTTTAATGATAGTTGATAAGAAAATGCTCTCTTTAAGGATAGGTAAGTGGTAGAACATTTTGTGTCTTATCAGTTGACGACTCTGGGTCGACAAGAAAGTAAATATGTGAAATGGTACAGGTATTTTAATTTTACGTGTTATGTGGTACGTTACTTGTTGAGAAAGGATATCTGGTTGAGAGTACAATGGTGGCTTTTTCCCCTGAAATGACCAAGATTTACTGAGCTACAACTGTATGTAAATGTTTCTGATGCGAAATGTAGGTTTGTTTCTGTAGATTTGTTTCTCTCGGTTAAATTTATTGATATTCGAGAAAAATTTTATGGCAGACGTATTCTTTATATATCTTTTTACCAAATTTTATATCTTATTACCAATCTTATTTGCACTGCGTTCATTAATTTCAGTGTTGCTGTTTTAGTGATTTTTTAGCTATGACTGGCACGGCAATATTTTTGGAGCGCGCTCTTCTAAAAAGTGATCTTCTAATGTTTTATGTCTTCACGGTTTTTAACGGGAGCATTTCAAGTCGAATATCAATTATTATTTCATTAAAACTATCCTCACCCGTCGTAATATAGCTAGTTAATAGCATATACCATCGCTCCGCCTTAACAAGCTTTGTACTGTGGGAAACAATTGGCTAGCTTGAGAAAATTACAGTCGATATGTTCGAGTGTAGAATTATCTATGATCACATGTATTTTTAAAGCGTGATGGTTTCAATGAAAAAAAAAATAATATAATATTTACTGTATTTTTAATATAATAACAATTATAAGGAAAACGATTCAATAAATCTTCATAAAACGCTTGTAATTTTTCAAACGAATCGTTGAGTGACATCATGACGTGTTGAAAGATGCTCTCTAGCGTGTAACTATGTTAATTATGTTAACGATAACTATGTTAACGATAACATAACTATGTTAATTATGTTAACGATGTTGCTAGATTTTAATCATTCTCCTATCTTCTAATTGATTTACAATTAGTCAAATAAGAAAGTAATGATCAATTATGTCTCATCACTCCAGAACATTTCAAAGAACAATAAATTAATGTGTGGTGTGAATTACCGAATATTAGCATATTATGCCATCGCCACGATACCGATGTATATCACGACTAATGTGCTCGAGTATCTCTAGCGTGTAATAGTATGGTAATAGTATGGTAATACTATTACATGATAGTATAATACTATACTATTACTAGTATAGTATTACTATTATTATAGTAACCGTACTTTCTTGTAGCTATTTATTTCATTGCAGCTCAAGCATATTGTGTACATAGCTGTATCGTGTACGAAAGTTTAGAATAAAATCGCATTTAGTGCTGCTGATGAACAAAAGTTGTCGAGATTATATTAAGTATTGGGTTTTAAACTGGTGCTGGCTTTGAACTGGTGCTGGCTTTGAACTGGTGCTGGCTTTGAACTGGTGCTGGTTTTGAACTGGTGCTGGCTTTGAACTGGTGCTGGTTTTGAACTGGTGCTGGCTTAGAACTGGTGCTGGCTTTGAACTGGTGCTGGTTTTGAACTGGTGCTGGCTTAGAACTGGTGCTGGTTGAACTAGAGGTAAATTATTTGTGTTGAAAGAACTCCTTTAAATATCTCCTTCTATTTCCTATTGTTGGGTCAACGTTTCACTTCCATCAATTAGCAGAATATTTTTACCCTTTCTGTTTACGAAATATGAATATTTATACCAACAGTGAGGCTTGCCATCCGTTATTTATTATATTTATATAATATGCTATTTGATGTACTAGTTAGTGCGTGAGTTGAGCATCTTAAATGACTCTTTAAATGCATATTTGTTTTATGAAGGCGAGTTTTTGACAGGTAAAATGTACATGAAAATCGATTATGAAGTGTCATGTTGGCCGTTAGGAATGGTGTGTAGCGTCTCGGTGGACACCAGTGTGAAGGATCAAATATCAATTAATAAGCCGTCATTAGCGCCTGAGGCTGGTGCGTAAATTCCTTGTCCCTGAAATTCAACGAATTCCTTGTCCGAGAAATTCATTGAATTACTGTCGTATGTGTCATGCAATTGTCACAGTGTTCATATCTATTCCATGCTCCTAATAACTAATATGATATTAATATTAAAATGGATGGAAAATGTACGCAAATGATCACAGCAATGGATAATTTATTACTGATTCTTACATTTTAATAAGAATTTGCAGTCGTATATGCCATTTAAATGTCACCGTGCAATCGTACTATCGAATGAGATTTCATTGACCATGTCTACGTCGAATATTTACGCACTGAATATCAAGGCAGAATATATTCAATGAATATCTTCACAGTTATGTTTTATTTCAGTGCGAATCAGTAGCAGTTGAAAGAATAATTTTGTTATAACTTTGATACAAATATATCATTGGCTCTGCGTTAAAAATCTTTTGTGTTTCCGCTTAATTGAGTTTATGTCCTCGGCGACCATACATTTGTGTCCCTCGGTGTAATGATCATAAAATATTATTATATATTATTTTATTAATATTATTCATGGCTTGGAGTCTGTTGTCGTTAACCACTTTTGGTCAACTATTGTTCACTCTTTATTGTACTGATGACAACAATTCACTATTTATTCCGGACATTTTATTCCATTTGCAAAATTATTCCATGTTAATTGAATGCAAAGAAGGATTATCGACTAACAGGATTGTCACTGCTAGATATAATTTCTGTATAATTTTTTTTACTGTTCGTTAGATTTTTCACTCTATGATTACTCTGTCGTTTAAAAAGTTTATCCCATGCCAAAATATCCTAACAAATACTCGAAATGAAACAGGGTTTCAATTAGATATCGAGATGAACGTTTTTAATCAAGATTGAATAATATTTTATCTAAAGAAAACTGGTGCATGTCACTGTCGGTACATGACACTCGTAGATACGTGCAGAAGTATTTATTAAATTTATTTCATTATTTGGACAATATGACCCGGTAATTTTGTTGCTTGTGGTGCATCAATGCGCGTTGATAATATTGTAATTATCGTTCCGAATTATGACGATAATTATCAGAATTGGTTTATCATTTATCTATCTATCAGTGCACGGATGTGTGGTGTGGGAGCTGAGGCCATGGAGATCAGGATAATGTATATATTTATCTTATATACATTTTTTTGTTTATTTGGGTCCGCGTAATTAATTTTTGATTGATTTTAAAGTTATTTTTTAATGGTTTTTATGTGTTTTTGTTGGATTTTAAGAATATTTTCATAGAATTTTTACAACAGTTGCTGCGGTACAAGCCATTCAGGTCTCGAGTGCCGAATTACTGATTGGTGATATGATAATTAAAACGCTCGTTTAAATTAGTGATAATTTGTCTTGATAGCGAAGCAATTTTTACCCTTTTGTGGGTCATCCTGGCCTAGTTTAGCCTGGCAAAAGGAGGTATCTGTGCTACGTCCGCTCTCTGCTCGTGCTGTACGTAAGCAAGTGTGTCACTATTTGTACAGCACGACTCGTTTATTTGTCTGGGTGTAGAGACGGTAAATTTTTGCTACGTCTTGTTATCAAGAGTGAGTAACTAATTATATATCATTATATATTATTCATCTCATTTGTTCAACCTTAAATGATTTCTCATCCATCTCTTCTCTGAATTATGATAAAGTCGGAAAAATACAAGGGTCATATTGTCCAAACAAAGAGACTTTTTTACCAATTAACAGCACGAGTCAAGAGCCGGCGTAGCACTGATACGCCCTGTTGCCGGGCCAAACTGGGTTAGAGTGACCAAATAGATGTCGAAAAGTGCGTCACTATTTTGGACAAAGTCTCATTAATTTCTCTGAGTGTAAAATTTCATTTTCAGCCATCATTTGTTATTCAGACTTATGCAGGCAGTTATTTATGCAGTTATTCAAGCAGTTATTCAAGCAGTTATTCAGGCAGTTATTCAAGCAGTTATTCAAGCAGTTATTCATGCAGTTATTCATGCAAATAATTTCATATCCTAAACGCTGGTGTCTCGAGCCTATAGCCCCCGCCCCGCACAAGAGGAGTAACGTCCTCTCGCTTCCGGAGTTACGCTTATCATATACTTTGTTATTAACAAATACTGTCAAATATTTATTTATATGTACAATGTATCATATAAGCAGAGCTGGGCAGCGCTACTTTGAAATGTAGCGCCGCTACTGCTACTGAAAATGTAGCGGCCGCTACATGTAGTGCGCTACTGCCCACCTCTGCATATAAGATGAATATTGTATTTTTAGAAAATATATTTATATGATATTTACCAGCTGCGTATTTAGTATTAGTTTAAAATACAACGTTTGATGAAACTCCTTCGGAATAAACAGTTGAAACACTGCAGCAGTTATTGTGGTACATATCAAGTTCGTACAATATTCTAAGTACAGTATCAATTTATATCTACATCATTATAATCTACATAATTAATAGTCTCATCAGACTTCAGTTGTGGACGTAATCAAGGAACACTTCGCTATCTGTTGAAATTACTCATAAAATTTAAATTTCAAAGTCCACTTATCACCAGAAACAGAATTTCATCAGACTTCAGCCATGGTTGATGGAACCTAGGAAAATTTCACTACAGTTTGAGAGTTATTACCTCTTGAAATTTTTCATAAAATTGCAAGAATAAGATTACTTGGTTTATTATTTTATAATTTATAATATAATTATAAATTGCCATGGTTGACGTAACTAAAGAAAATTTCGCCGCGCTGCTGCCCCACATCGAGGCTGACCTCAGGTCTGCGCTCTTCGTGGCCATCGACACAGAGTTCACCAGCCTGCTCACCAACACGCGATACTCCAACGAGTTAGTGCTGCGTGTTAGTGCTGCGTGTCAGACGTGTTAGTGCTGCGTGTTAGTGCTGCGTGTTAGACGTGTTAGTGCTGCGTGTTAGACGTGTTAGTGCTGCGTGTCAGACGTGTTAGNGAGCAGCTGGGTTGTAGTGGGCGGCTGGGCTGTGTTGGAGCAGCTGGGTTGTGGTGGGGCGGCTGGGCTGTATTGGAGCAGCTGGGTTGTGGTGGGCGGCTGGGCTGTGTTGGAGCAGCTGGGTTGTAGTGGGCGGCTGGGCTGTGTTGGAGCAGTTGGGTTGTGGGTGGGCGGCTGGGCTGTGTTGGAGCAGCTGGGTTGTGGTGGGGCGGCTGGGCTGTATTGGAGCTGTCTCTTATACACATCTAGATGTGTATAAGAGACAGTGCCAGACGTGTTAGTGCTGCGTGCGTGTAGTGATCTTGTATTGCGTGCTGCATAAAGTCAGTCATTATGCGCTAATGTTTTTGAATTAGAATAGCACTTAAAGCTAATGCAACTGTAGCCGGTTGGTTAGTGTGTTGTTTTAGAAGCAACGAGTGAGTAGTTCGGTATCCTTAACTTCAATGTGCACGCTTGTTTAAAAAAATCTGTGCGAAATCCGCACTTCTGCTCCATTGCTATGTATTTCCATAACCTGTGATGAAATTATTTATTACATTTTCAATGTGCACACTTTTTGTTTGAAAAATCTGTGCGAAATCTGCACTTTTGCTCCATTGCTATGTATTTCGTAACCTTTAATGAAATTCTTTATCACATTTCTGGAATCGTTTTCGTCTATCAGATGGTTCGACTCTGGCTCAGACCGCTACCGGAAATTAAGGAACAACTTAACGAACGTCGCCATCTGCCAGCTGGGTCTCGCCATCTGTAAGGTAAGAACTCGAGGCTAGGAGTGCCTGTTATCGCTGCATTAATTACATCAATTCTGTAGAAGTACCTGTTGCTAAATCACGGTTGGTGGTAATCAATGGTTAAAGGTGACATGTATAGTAGTGTCTGACCATCTGTAAGGCCAGTAGAAGTAGTACGGTTAGTAGGCAGTAGGAAGGTTAGTAATCAGTGGAAGTAGGCAGTAGGAAGGTTAGTAATCAGTAGAAGTAGGAAGTAGTAAGGTTAGTAATCAGTAGAAGTAGTAAGGTTAGTAATCAGTAGAAGTAGGAAGTAGTGAGGTTAGTAATCAGTAGAAGTAGTAAGTAGTAAGGTTAGTAATCAGTAGAAGTAGGAAGTAGTAAGGTTAGTAGTCAGTGGAAGTATGAAGTAGTGAGGTTAATAGTCAGTGGATGTTAGTTAGATGCCTCTGAATGAACCATCAGAGTTTAGTAAGCGATGGTAGGTGCCCGTGGTGAGGTTGAAACTAGCCAGCTGTAGGGTTGATGGTCTAATGAGTATGTTTTATAGAGATCTGCTTCTTATTAGAGAGAAATATATACGTATTTTCGCCTTGAAGAACCTCTTTCTAGCAATTTTTATGTCCAATTTGCAATTAATATGGTATTTATTCTTATATACATATGAGTTATTTCATTTCCTGATCACATGCAAACTCTGATAGTTCCTTTACCCTCGCCCTGAATGTCTCACTCAGAGAAATTAGTGAGAGTTTATTGAAATACATCCACTGTCACTTGGGCTGTGGGTAAGAAAGAGTGTCATTATTGGCTGCTATGACCCGATGATTTATCTAAGTGCTTGCCCTGTTCAGCCGTCATTGGGCTGTGGGTAAGAAAGTGTGTCATCTGTGTAAAGTGTGTGTGTTTGGCTGCTATGACCCGATGATTTATCTAAGTGCTTGCCCTATTCAGCCGTCAGCAAGAAGCAATGAATATGAGTGCCGCGTGTACAACATCTTCCTACAGCCCCCACACTTCCTGGACCACGACGTCCTTATGCTCTGCCAGGCCTCCTCCTTATCCTTCCTCGCCGCCCACGAGTTCGACTTCAACAAGGTGCGTCTGTTGTCTTGGTATCAACAAGGTTCGTCTATTGTCTTGGTATTAACAAGGTTCGTCTATTGTCTTGGTATCAACAAGGTTCGTCTATTGTCTTGGTATCAACAAGGTTCGTGTATTTCCTCGGTATCAACAAAGTTCGAGCTTCATGTGTTCAGTCGCTTCGAAATGGGTTCTCTTAATGGTTTTATTCTCAGAGCCTTTCTCCATCCCTTGTGCATAATGAAGTTAACGGAGACTGAAACATTTTTCCAGACTATACTAGATAGCTAATCCCTATTAACATTTAAATTATATCTCATTGCTGTGAGTAATAAAGTGATGTGGTGTTGTTAAAGCTCGGCAGAGCTCATTGGTAGTTTAATCTAACGTGCATTATATTATATTAGAGCACAGCCGAGTTTAGTGGTAGCTCTCTGACCAGCAGTGATTATAATTAGGGTTAAGGGAAATGCAGTGGCAAATCTATTGTGCAGTGATGTTATTAATATATTGATATTAATTAATCAATATTAGATTAGACAGATAATAATTACCATTAATGTAATGGAAAAGTGCAGTAGTAAATGTATTGTGCAGTGTTGTTATTAATATATTAATATTAATATTAATAACTAATATTAGATTAGACAGATATTAATTATAATTAATGTAATGGAAAAGTGCAGTGGGAAATCTATTGTGCAGTGGTGTTATTAATGTATTAATATTAATAGTAATTAATTAATATTATATTAGACAGATAATAATTAGGTACCATTAATGTAATGGAAAAGTGCAGTAGTAAGTCTATTGTGCAGTGGGTGTACGACTTGTTGAGAAAGGATATCTGGTTGAGAGTACAATGGTGGCTTTTTCCCCTGAAATGACCAAGATTTACTGAGCTACAACTGTATGTAAATGTTTCTGATGCGAAATGTAGGTTTGTTTCTGTAGATTTGTTTCTCTCGGTTAAATTTATTGATATTCGAGAAAAATTTTATGGCAGACGTATTCTTTATATATCTTTTTACCAAATTTTATATCTTATTACCAATCTTATTTGCACTGCGTTCATTAATTTCAGTGTTGCTGTTTTAGTGATTTTTTAGCTATGACTGGCACGGCAATATTTTTGGAGCGCGCTCTTCTAAAAAGTGATCTTCTAATGTTTTATGTCTTCACGGTTTTTAACGGGAGCATTTCAAGTCGAATATCAATTATTATTTCATTAAAACTATCCTCACCCGTCGTAATATAGCTAGTTAATAGCATATACCATCGCTCCGCCTTAACAAGCTTTGTACTGTGGGAAACAATTGGCTAGCTTGAGAAAATTACAGTCGATATGTTCGAGTGTAGAAATTATCTATGATCACATGTATTTTTAAAGCGCGATGGTTTCAATGAAAAGAAAAAGTATATAATATTTTCAATGAAGAGAAAAATTATATAATATTTACTGTATTTTTAGTATAATAACAATTATAAGGAAAACGATTCAATAAATCTTCATAAAACGCTTGTAATTTTTCAAACGAATCGTTGAGTGACATCATGACGTGTTGAAAGATGCTCTCTAGCGTGTAACTATGTTAATTATGTTAACGATAACTATGTTAACGATAACATAACTATGTTAATTATGTTAACGATGTTGCTAGATTTTAATCATTCTCCTATCTTCTAATTGATTTACAATTAGTCAAATAAGAAAGTAATGATCAATTATGTCTCATCACTCCAAAACATTTCAAAGAACAAGAAATTAATGTGTGGTGTGAATTTGTGATGTCATTACAGTCGTGATGTCGATGTGCATCACGACTGTAATGTGCTCGAGTATCTCTAGCGTGTAATAGTATGGTAATAGTGTGGTAATACTATTACATGATAGTATGATACTATACTATTACTAGTATAGTATTACTATTATTACAGTAATAGTTTACTTTCTTGTAGCTATTTATTTCCTTGCACTTAAGCACATAGTGTACGTGGCTGCATCGTGTACGAAAGTTTAGAATAAAATCGCATTTAGTGCTGCTGATGAACAAGTTGTTGAGATTATAAAAAGTATATGGTTTTTAACTGGCACTGTGGTTTATAGCTTTCTAAAGGGATATAATTTGTGTTGAAAGAACTCAACTAACTATCTTCTTCAATTGTCTAACTATCTTCTTCACTTGTCTAACTATCTTCTTCAATTGTCTAACTATCTTCTTCAATTGTCTAACTATCTTCTTCAATTGTCTAACTATCTTCTTCAATTGNACTTTTCTCTATGATTACTCTGTCTTTTAAGAATTTATTCTGTCAAAATATCCTAACGAATCCTCGAAATTAAAAAGGTTCTCAATTAGACATCGATATGAACGTTTTTAATCAAGGTTGAATAATATTTTATATAAAATGTACTGGTGCATGAATGCACAACAGTTGCATGTCACTGTCGCTACATGGCACTGTGAATGTGTGACACAATTTGGACAAGATACCCGGTAATTTTGTTGGTGCATCAATGCGCGTTGATAATAATGTAATTATCGTTCCGAATTATGGCCAGAATTATAATAATTGGTTTATCATTTATCTATTTATCAGTGCACGGATGTGAGGTGCGGGAGCTGGGCCGCGGAGATAAGGATAATGTTTATATTCATCTTATATATTTATTACTTATTTTGGCCCGCGTAATTCATTTTTGATTGTTTTCAAAGTTATTTTTTGTTTGATTTTAATAATATTTTCAAATAATTTTTAAAACAGTTGCTGCGTTACAAGCCATTCAGGTCTCCAGTGCTGAATCACTGATTGGTGATAGGATTATTAAAACACTTGTTTAAATCAGTGAGAATTTGTCTAAATAGCGAAGCAATTTTTGCCTTTTGTGAGTCATCCTGACCCAGTTTAGTCTGGCAAAAGGAGGTATCAGTGCTACCACCGCTCACTGCTCATGCTGTACGTAAGCAAGTGTGTAATTAATTGGGCAATATGACTCATTTGTTGTTCTGGGTGTAGAGACGGTAGTAAGTTTTTGCTACGTCTTGTTATCAAGAGTGAGTCAATAATTATATATCATTATATCTTATTCATCTCATTTCTTGAACCTTAACTGGTTTCTCTTACATCGCTTCTCTGAATTATAATGATAAAGTCGGTAAAATGCAAGGGTTATATTGTCTTAATATAGACACACTTTTTAGCGCATTTTCTCACTTATGGAAAAAATGCACTATTTTGCTCGCCGTGTCCGTCTGTCCGTCTGTCCGTCCATGACCTCAAGTTTTCGTCGACGAGAAAATGCGCTCTCTGTCACTCACTGCAGTGAGTACTGAGTTATATTTTTTACCAATTAGCAGCACGAGCAGGAAGCAGGCGTAGCACTGATACGCCCTGTTGCCGGACCAAACTGGGTTAGGGTGACACCCTAACCCAGTTGTCACCGGTCACCCTCACACCGGGGCTGACACCGGTATTTTAGGGTGACACCAGTCACCCTAACTGGGTTAGGGTGACCGGAAAGATGCCGAAAAGTGCGTCGCTATTTGTAAAAGTTTTGTTATTTTTCTGAGTGTATAATTTCATTTTCAGCCCTTATTTGTTATTCAACAGTTATTCTAGGAGTTAATTTCATATCCTAAACGCTGGTGTCTCGAGCCTATAGCCCCCGCCCCGCACAAGAGGATTAACGTCCTCTCGCTTCCGGAGTTACACTTACATACATTGTTATTAACAATTACTTTCAAATATTTAATTATATGTACCATGTATCATATAAGATGAAAATATTGTATTTTTAGAAAATATATTTATGATATTTAGCAGCTGCGTATTATATTAGTTTAAAATACAACGTTCGACGAAACTCTTTCGGAATAAACATTTGAAACACTGCAGCAGTTATTTTGGTACATATCAAGTTCGTACAATATTCTAAGTACAGTAGCAATTTATGTCTACATCATTATAATCTACATAATTAATAGTCTCATCAGACTTCAGTTGTGGACGTAATCAAGGAACACTTTGTTATCTGTTGAAATTACTCATAAAATTTCAATTGCAATGTCCACTTATCACCAGAAACAGAATTTTACCAAACTTCAGCCATGGTTGATGGAACCTAGGAAAATTTCACTACAGTTTGAGAGTTATTACCTCTTGAAATTTCTTATAAAATTGCAATAATAACATTACTTGGTTTATTATTTATAATATAATTATAAATTGCCATGGTTGACGTAACTAAAGAAAATTTCGCCGCGCTGCTGCCCCACATCGAGGCTGACCTCAGGTCTGCGCTCTTCGTGGCCATCGACACAGAGTTCACCAGCCTGCTCACCAACACGCGATACTCCAACGAGTTAGTGCTGCGTGTTAGTGCTGCGTGTAAAGACTCCGAGCCGCATGACCGTAAGACCCCACGCCGCATGACCGTAAGACCCCGCGTCACACGACCGTAAGACTCCGCGCCGCATGACCGTAAGACCCCACGCCGCATGACCGTAAGACTCCGCGCCGCATGACCGTAAGACTCCGCGTCACACGATCGTAAGACTCCGCGCCACACGACCGTAAGACCCCGCGTCACACGACCGTAAGACTCCGCGCCGCATGACCGTAAGACTCCGCACCGCATGACCGTAAGACCCCGCGTCACACGACTGTAAGACTCCGCGCCGCATGACCGTAAGACCCCACGCCGCATGACCGTAAGGCTCCGCGCCTCATGACCGTAAGACCCCGCGTCACACGATCGTAAGACTCCGCGCCGCATGACCGTAAGACCCCGCGTCACAAGACCGTAAGACCCCGCGTCACACGTCCGTAAGACTCCGCGCCGCATGACCGTAAGACCCCGCGTCACAAGACCGTAAGACCCCGCGTCACACGACCGTAAGACTCCGCGCCACACGACCGTAAGACCCCGCGTCACACGACCGTAAGACTCCGCGCCGCATGACCGTAAGACCCTGCGTCACAAGACCGTAAGACCCCGCGTCACACGACCGTAAGACCCCGCGTCACACGACCGTAAGACTTCGCGCCGCATGACCGTAAGACCCCGCGTCACAAGACCGTAAGACCTCGCGTCACAAGACCGTAAGACCTCGCGACACATAACCGTAAGACACGATCAGTGTACCGAAAATTCAAAAGCTAAGAAAACGCCAAATAAATTCACCAACCATATTTTCATTAAAAATATTTAGGTGACCAGCCCAATCATCAGTTCAAAAATTGTCATTCTTTCCTATAAAAACTAATTTTTTCTTCACGGAGCACTAGTACTTCAAAGCAAAAAAAAAAAAAAAAAAAAATGATAATTACTCAAACTCTAGCCATGATCGGTTTCATAAATGAATGGGTCATATGGGCCAAAGAGTGAGAGAATTTATGCCCGATGAACTGATACTCACATTTGGCGGGCGAAATTGGGTCATGAAAAGCTGCATAAAAGCAAATAATTCATGTCTTTTTGGACCAAGTCTCCCTCATTTCTCTGACTGTGTTACCGCCGGCAGGTGGGGTTGGACACGAGGGGGCGCCGCTCCCCGAGCACCAGGACCGGACTCTGGCCCCGTCCCTGCTGGCTGCGCTGCACAACACCACGCCTGACCTGCACGCTCAGCTGCGACACCAACGGGTGCGCTCACAACACTAATTGGGCTGTTGTCTAAATATCGACACACTTTCTTACCCATAGCATTTGCCTGGATGAAACGCTCCTGATGCCACTCTCGCTTAGTTTTCTCGTAAGAACAGCATTGTTTTGAATGGAAGTACCGGAACTTCAGGACGCCGGAGGAGTGACAAAGAATCTTGAACTTCGAGAAATGAACGAGACTTTGACTTTATACTAATAGTGATATACATTTGCTCTGGTGTGTTTTATCCTACCAGTTTGGTTCGGCAAATCAGTGCTGCGTGCTGAAATTGTTTTACTAGCCTAGCAAAATTTAGATACGGGACCGGCTGTGCAACATTTGCTGCCCAGGACTCCGGGGAGCACGTAAATCAGCCGCTAATGTCAGCTTCGGTAGGACTTAAGGGCAGCCTGTGGGCAGCTTCCAAATACAGTATTACCCAGCTCAGTTTACTTTTTTGAAACTCAAAACACTTTAAAAGTCGTAAATGAAATTCTAACAAGACCCTCATTTCGATCGGGTGGCCAAGCAGACCCAGAATAACTGTATTCTGGGTCTGGGTCTGCTATTCTGGATGTAGGTCTATGCAGACCCAGAATAAATCTACACAGCCCAGTGTAGCTTCACGAGTAGAACTGTGACCCCAATATTTTTTTCCGATCATCGGATCTTCAGTGACTGATTCGTATAATTGTTTTCAGATCATCGTGAGGAAAGTGACAGCAGAAGAGAGAACCCAGCTGGCTGACCGCATCAGCCATGACTGGCAGGAGCTGACGGACGATACCCTGCAGTGGCTGACAGGCTGCAGCCATATCATGTGGCTGATGGCTAGCCTGCGCCTGCCTGTTGTGGTGCATAACGGCATCATCGACATCATGCTCATCTACCAACAGGTTTGTTGCTGCCTCCTGTTTCACGTCTTTTACTGCCTTTTTTGTTAACAAAGTTAAACAACAACAAACATTCATATTCTCACTGACCGACAACCGTGTATCACTGAGTATAGAAATATTTATATGCCTGCTGAGCTACAATCATGTATAGCTGATTATAGAAATATTTATATGCGTACTGAGTGACAATCATTTATAGCTGGCTGTAATGTTACATATTTATATAATATAGTAACTGTATATTATATAGCGATATACCAACAATCACTTATTCCTAACTATTGTTGCAGTTCTTCGGGCCCCTGCCTGCCACGCTGCCGGCGTTCAAGAAGGCTTTTCACTCAGAACTTCCCTGCGTTTTTGACACAAAACTAATGGCCTACCAACTTAAGCGCATCTATAAGGAGGAAGTACCTGGTAATTTTTGGGATACTGGGTAACTTCATCCATGGGATACAGGGTCACTTCATCCATGAGATACAGGGTAACTTCATCCATGAGATACAGGGTAACTTCATCCATGAGATACAGGGTATCTTCATCCATGAGAAAGGAAAATAGCCAAAAATTTCACTATTTCTTATAAGAGAGAACGTTTCGGAGTTATCCCTGGTTATGCGATTAGCCCTAGTTTATCAATATAGTTGTGCGCAGTGCGCATGTCGGTATAACATCGCGCAATTTTTATACTAGGCTTGCAGATCATAGGGGCAGGAGTTATAGAACAGGGAACATACTTGCGCATCCCCCTCATTCAGCCGTACGTATTCATGCCGAGCAGTGCAACGTCCCGGTGTCCAATAGTGATTTTACAGATTTAGCCTCCACAACCCGTGTTTCTGACCTACGAATTTTAGAATCATTATATGTTTTCGAACAGAAGCCCGGTTTAAATGCCGCATTCAGTTCCTATCCACTACAAATTTTTACTAGATAGTACTTTCTGCTCATGTTTTCTCATTTCAATTTATTTTCAATTTTGGTTCTAATGTCCACAAGTTTAGGTGAATTGTTTGGATGTGAATTTTAGGCTACTAATTGTTTGTACCTGTGTTCTAGGTTTTGAACAGACGATGGAGCTGGACTTCGAAATGTTTTCTCTTATAAGAAATGGTGAACTTTTTGGTTATTTTCTTTACTTTTAAATTCCTGGTTAATTTGCGATTTAAGCAGCCAAGTGATCTTAATACTTATCTTCATCCATGTGATACCAGGCAACCTCATCCAGTTTACTGGTGGTTGGTTGGAGCATAGCGCTCTATGCTCACTTTAAAATCTAATCTTTATAAACACTCTTTCAGAAAACCTGTGTTCATGCGTAGGAACACATTGAGGAGGCCAGTAGAATAAGGAGATGCCTTTATTCTCAGATCAATGCTTTTCAAACTATTAGTAAAGTTTTTTAATTTATTGAGAAATTGATTAATGGATTTGTTCAGTTTCAATAATTCTGTTGATTGATCAATTAAATTGATTAATTCACCATGGACACCGTTATATTTTGGCCAATTAAATCGATGCTTGCCCAGTTTGTGGAAGTGATCGCGTGATGTTCGATGTTGTGAAAAATGTAAACGATTTGTAAAAATGTAAAGAATTATGTAAATTCGTTGTCAGTTTCAGAGTGTCTGTCGAACACGACGCTGGCGCCGCTGACGGCAGCGCTGCAGGAGCAGCTGCCGGTGCTGTTCAAGCCCAACCTCAGCATCACGCAGCCCTACAACAAGTACAGTGAGTCATGTCAAGTCCCAGCACCACAAGTACAGTGAGTCATGTCAAGTCCTAGCAACACAAGTACAGTGAGTCCTCATTTCAAGTTTTTGTCGTATTCGAGTACATATCTCAATAATTATGGATGATTAAAGCAAATACAGTAAGCATTATTTGTAAACTTATTCCTCTTCGATGTTATAGTAATGAATTTATCTTTATGTCTGGGCATTTTTTTCGAATTTAGTTGGTTGATTATCTTGATACACTTTTATTTGCTTTTTTCATTTATTGTCGTTCATTATCACTGGCTGTAATTATCACTTTTTATTTCATATTATTCAATTAATGCCTTGTTATGAAATTTCTAAATATTAGGAATTTTTTTTAATCTTAATAATATTTTTTAGGCGGCGGAGAGCGACCACACGAAGCAGGCTACGACGCTTACCTGACGGCGGCCTGCTGCCTGCACCTGGCGCACCTGCACTTCACCTACGACCTGCCTCAGTGAGGGGGAGGGGGGGCTGGGGGGGGTAGGGTTCCTAACGCCCCGCCATGACACCATCAGTCCCCACCATGGCTGGTTAAAATTTCCAGAATCAGCCCCACTTTGGGTGATTCCAATCAACGCCTGAGTTTGCGACAGGGAAAATTTGAGTAGATTTTAAATAAATCCTTTTAATAATGGAATATGTACAATGTACCGCCCATGAATTCATTTTATCAAATGTTTTACTTTTTTCATAGCACATCATTAAATCCAGGAAGTATTTGATGAATATTTGATCCTCTAAAAAGCAAATAAATAAAAATTTAAATCTAATTGAGTATTCTACTTCAGGCGTAGTCTGTGCCGGGCGATGGACGCGCGAGAACTTCTCTGCCAACTTAAGAACTTTGCAAACAAAATTAACATCTCAAGAGCGGCAGTGTTCTATGTGGTGAGTTCTACGTGGTGAGTTCTACGTGGTGAGTTCTACGTGGTGAGTTCTGTGTGGTGAGTTCTGCGTGGTGAGTTCTGCCTGGTGAGTTCTACGTGGTAAGTTCTGCGTGATGAGTTCTACGTGGTAAGTTCTACGTGGTAAGTTCTACGTGGTAAGTTCTACGTGGTGAGTTCTGTGTGGTGAGTTCTACGTGGTGAGTTCTGCGTGGTGAGTTCTGCCTGGTGAGTTCTACGTGGTGAGTTCTACTTGGTGAGTTCTGCATGGTGAGTTCTACTTTACTTGGTGAGTTCTATGTGGTGAGTTCTACTTGGTGAGTTCTACGTGGTGAGTTCTACCTGGTGAGTTCTACTTGGTGAGTTCTACGTGGTGAGTTCTACCTGGTGAGTTCTACGTGGTGAGTTCTGCGTGGTGAGTTCTACTTTACTTGGTGAGTTCTGCGTGGTGAGTTCTACGTGGTGAGTTCTGCTTGGTGAGTTCTACGTGGTGAGTTCTACCTGGTGAGTTCTACGTGGTGAGTTCTACCTGGTGAGTTCTACGTGGTGAGTTCTACCTGGTGAGTTCTACCTGGTGAGTTCTACCTGGTGAGTTCTACCTGGTGAGTTCTACGTGATGAGTTCTACTTGGTGAGTTCTACGTGGTGAGTTCTACGTGATGAGTTCTACTTTACTTGGTGAGTTCTACGTGGTGAGTTCTACGTGGTGAGTTCTGCGTGGTGAGTTCTACTTTACTTGGTGAGTTCTGCGTGGTGAGTTCTACCTGGTGAGTTCTACCTGGTGAGTTCTACGTGATGAGTTCTACTTGGTGAGTTCTACGTGGTGAATTCTACTTTACTTGGTGAGTTCTACCTGGTGAGTTCTGCCTGGTGAGTTCTACGTGGTGAGTTCTGCGTGGTGAGTTCTACGTGGTGAGTTTTAGGTTTTGAATTTCTAAAAAAGTTGCTAAACCTATTCATCATGTTATTATTTTTTCAGAACCTGACGGGAAAAGACCGCACTGCTCCCCGCCCGCCATGGCTCATCGTTGAGAACACAAATCGCTTCTTCAGTTTCCGTGGCTCGGAAAATAACGTTGACGTTAACGACAACATCGCAGCTCGGGAAATTAAAACTCACTCGTCCTCTAGCATGCCGGTATATTTTGACCCGCAGGTTTTACACGCCAGAGAACCACAAACCGGTGTCAGTAATGAGCAACCCCACCCATCTACTCGCAGCATCTGGACCATTGATAACAACGGGTTCGTGATCAAGCAGCCTGACACATCTTATCTAAGTCAACACTGCAATACAAATGAGAAGCGAAGTAATAATTTAACTGCTGACTCCAACTCAAACGTACAAAAGGAACCGAAACTCCCGTTCGTCTCTGCCAATTCTAAAGACTTTTCAGGCGGGCTCGTCTGCCACGCACAGAACGTAAAACCGCTGGAGAAATTCAGTCCTGAGACAGTTTCGCTTCTGCTGTCCCGGTTTGGTTCGGTGGACGTTCGGTCGTGGCGCAGGAACAAGCTGCTGGTGGCTGTAGCTTCGTACGACACACACGACCAAATCCTGACGTCCTTCAGAGCACCCGGGCTGAGGGTGTATCCCTACAGCGCCCTCAAGCACTCAGCCCTCGTCAGGGGCGTCTTGTGGTAAGATTTGTTTAGTAGAAATTATAAAGCTATAAATGTAGAGCTTTTCCTATAATAAGTCAAATTTATGGCTTTTGTTTTCTTTATTTTATGAATTTAATACTTTTTTATAGTCAACGCAAGGCTTTCCAGGTAACTGATATTCTACTGTAGTGGTTTCATTATAAATATTGAACAGTAGGGTTTTTGTATTTCAATAGTCAAGTGACTATCTAAATTCTAAATAAAGATCCAACGTTAGAGCTCTTTCACATAAATAAATGATATTTATTAGAGAATAAGATATAGTAACTCACATACTTCCGTCGGTGTAGCAACTTTCCTTCAAACTGTTGCTTCTTGAGCCACAGAATATGTGCCAAAAAGTTTTTTTCTAATACTCAAGTAAATTTTGAATCAGAGTGGTTAGCCTAGAGAGGCTATGATAAAACCGTAGATCGTTTTTTTCGTTTCAAAAGCCTACTACCTCTTGAAACGAATTTTTTTTCACAATTAAATTAACATATCTCGAAGTCCATAATATGATTTATGCTGCCATAATACGTATTTCTACTGTCTGGGCTATGCAGTGTTCAGCAAAAATTTTAATGAAGTTTGTGATTCAAATTAATTGTATTTGCTTCCAGGACTGGACTGTTGGCGTCGGGGGGATTGGGCGCCTTCCTGTTGTACAGCGCCGTTACTGAGAGCGGCACACGACGATAATATTGTATATAATATAATGATATATTATTTCCTTGATAACATGTACAGTAAGAATATCCAATTCTGTGATACCTGCAAGGAAAAACATCCCACTCTTTTTTCTTAACTGTAGTCGGCAATCTTATATTGTGATACGAAGTTCTAGTTCGTCAGAAGCCGGAATAATTTAATAGACTAATAGTTCTGAGATATAGTTTGCCAGAAGCCAGATTAATCTTGATTTATGTTGGCCAGAACTTTAAATTATNAATAATTGTATTAGACAGCGGTAAGCATTTCCTAACAATGTAATGCTCAGAGCGCAAGACAATATTTAATTTCTTTCAGTTACGATTGTCGTCATTCGTGCAGTGTCTTATTATTGTCTAATGTTCATTGTTACACACTCCTACTGCATTGTTTTTGAGGTTAAATCGTAAAAGCCTCCATCGTTTCGTACATCTTCCATTTGATCTTTCCACAACTGCTTGAAACTGGAATATCTAATTGTTGAAGGTACATTTCTTTTCCGTTTTCACTCCTACTACAAGGATTATTTTTCGAAGTACCTACAAATCTTTCTCTACTGTTGCCGTTTTTTCGTTTAATTATATCATGAAACTAATTATACTCGCATGAGTATTTTTCGCTGCAAGGCATTGAGCATGCCAGAATTTTTTCTCTAGCAGCGGCCAAAAATTTGTTTAAGTTCATGGGTGAGCATTTAATTTGCCCTGCATTGTCGTCACCAGTCCATAGCCCAGCCCTTCAAAGATCCAAACTCGTCTATGTAATCAAGGTAATTTTGTAGTGTGGCGATTTGATGTTCCACGCTCGTCGTTGATGTTCCAAAATTCTCTCAACATTTTTACAGTTTCATAAAATTCGTAGTTTTCAAAGGAATGAATATCTTGTCGAAAATTATCTCAACATCTTTACAGTTTCATAAAATTCCCAGTTTTCAAAGGAATGAATATCTTGTTTCACTAGTATTCCTAGAATCCATCGATATCTAATTTCTCTTCTCGCTATTATTATGACGCATTCATATGTTCGCAAGAAGAAACTACCCGATTATGACCGTAAGATCTCTATCGTACGACCGTAAAAAATTAGTGGTTATTCTTCTAACATGAATGTTTCGACAGCAAAGATGCGATTCAATAACCGATTTAATTAAATAAAATTCGGTATTCACTTGAATAGGACGAAGTATATTCACTTGAATAGGACGAAGTATATCATTCCATAACAAAGGCAAGCGATACCTACGGTACATCCGCAATGAGACGTTAAGATTTCTCCAATGTTGAGCTGTTGTCTGCGCGCATTACCCAACGGTTCATTGATCCCATGACGGTTAAAATATTGAATGGGTTTTATCGTTCTCGCTCTACGTTCGCTAAATTGGAATTACCTCTTAACTCATAAGTGATGCATCATCACAAGAGTGATTCTCTAAAGCTGCTGCGAGATTTCTGGAATGAAGAAGCTTAACAGAGAAGCATAAATTAATCTAGCAGTTGTAGTTGTCATTAAATTTAAGCAGTAATTAAAAAACTATAATTAATTTAGTATCAGGAGCGAAAACTTGAAAAATATTGAGTGACTTGCGGGTTCGAGAAACGGCTAGTTGTGAAAATCCTGCAAAGCATAGAATCGTTGATAGGGCAGGCATGGCCAAATCGTCAACGCAGACACTCTTCATCGTTATTATCAAAACATTGAAACGTCTTAACTACGTTGGACATCATATTTTCAAATCATCTCTGAACATCTCAAACCAATAAGAGAACTCGCTAGAATATTCATTGTCCGATAGGGAGTAAATTGGAATAATAAATATATGAATTATATTGAATTTTAATTCGGGAACAAATTTATACATTCAATACCAGGGCGATAGCAGCAAATTCTGCAGAGCGTTATTAATTACAGACGAACATTCGATAATTCATTGAAATATGACTGGCCAGTTATCCATTATATACAAACCGGTTAGTCCCTGCAGTCTAGTTGAAAATTTGCAAGACTGTTGGGATCACTCTGATATAGACTGAATAACTGAAACCAAGGCGATTGCGAGAACTCAGCCTATATCAGTTAAACGTATCATGAGTACGCACGTCACCTTAAGAGGGTATTAAATTCGAACGAAGTGACAATGCTCACATTAAATTTTTATGAAGTGCACATGAGGAAGTAAACCTTGACACGAAGATAGGTACGTTCTGCCTTAATCCACTATCACCACGAAATATGAAGAGCCACGCAATTAATGTATCGGTAATGACATTTCATGTGCAATCAGACCACAAGGCCTTGCGAATAATTCCACAAAGTACAATCTTGCAGATATTTCACAAACTAAGACAGATTGAAACATGATCTTGAGTTGGTAGGAATATGAAGAGTCTTTAATAACATTAGCTACTTGCTGAATTTTTACCGTAAAAATCCAAAATTCATAAACTACTTTTTGTAAAATCTAGCTTTTCCCTTAAGAAAAATGGTAGAAATTGTTTAAAAATGAAACAAAAATAAAATTCGACAACGATATCAAATGTTCCATCTATAAATTAAAATAAATAAGCCTCACATAACGCTCTAATGTTAATGTTGAACTTGAAGATGCTTGGTCAAAGTGCAAGGAGCGAATTTTGCTAAAATGGATGAGGGTGAAATAGATGATGAACAGTGGACGGCATTTAACGTCCACCTTCTTGTCCGCCCCCACTGACCATGAGCAGCAGTACGGCAGGGATGATGTAGATCCACTGGAAATAAAATTGACTCAAGAGACGCGGTATTGATACAGAACACAAGAATGGAAGTTAGTAGGTGACTAAAATTCACTTACTGAAATTCAGTAGGTAACTGAAATTCACCTACTGAAATTCAGTAGGTAACTGAAATTTACCCACTAAAATTCAGTAGGTAACTGAAATTCACCTACTGAAATTCAGTAGGTGACTGAAATTCACCAACTGAAATTCAGTAGGTGACTGAAATTTGAATTTCCAGTGCAACCGAGAAATTTTTCCACCGTGAAGCTTCAAAATGAAAGAAGTTCTGCTTATGAATAATCCTACATTGTTTAAAAATGTCACAGTGGAGAAAAGTACCTAGCGACACTTATAAATGAAACTTGCAAATATTTCAAGTACGTATGTTCGAAGTTTGATCAAACACAATGAGGCATTTAATTGCCAGTAGTTCACTACAGGTACTCACATATTTGGCGAAGAATGAGCGGTTGTCTTTATTTTCTGCTTTCTCCTTATTCGCCATCTCGATCCGCTGGATGTAAGTAGCGGTGTCAGGTCTGCAACAATAAAATAATTGATGAGAAATAAATTGAGAACACAGGATAATACCAAAGCAACCGTAATAAAATTCAATTAAACAAAATACAATAAATCAAAATTAATTAATATTTGTAACGGGGAATATGCATGAAGAGAAGAAAATAGCTAATGCAGTAAACCACGTAGGACATTGTCTTGTCTACTTCTAACTTCTCGTTCAACAAAAAATTTGAAAGGATCAGAAATGTATTGGCATTATACGTTATATGAAAAAGGGCGAATAACTAGAAATTAATTGAGTCTACTGACTGGAAAGATTCTAAACGTAACTTTTATTATTAGACTTTATGTGTCAGGAGTCATACGACCCGGTGACGGTAAACAGAACAGGTGACGGTAAACAGAGCCTGTTGCTGAAGCTGTGCTGACGTAGTTGTTGGGTAGGTGAAACAGGCATTAAGTGTATGATAAGTGCTTGTCTTAGTATTTTTGACTCTTTTCATTCAAACTATATCACTAAAATTTATGTTTGTGGCTTGTCACAAGCAAGTAAACCATCGCAATATAATAAGAAAGTACATCCCAAAGATCTTCGGTGTAACATATACAATTCTTGTTAAAATCCCCAAAATTATTGGTGAAGAGTTGCAAATTAATTTCCTTCTATTCTTGCATGAAGTTACACATATGTAGACAGTGAAAAGCCGTTGAAGAATACTATTATCATGCAACAATTGTTTGAAATTATTTTAGGAGAAATGGAAAAAAAAGTTACGATCATGTATTACCTACTCGCGCGATACTGGAAAATTGAGTACACACAAATGTATTTTAGAGTCACACAAATTGTCCACTTACACAGTGCCAGTCACAGGAGTGCACCCAGATGTACTAAAGTGTCACAGATTGTCCACTTACACAGTGCCAGGCACAGGAGTGCACACAGATGTACTAAAGTGTCACAGATTGTCCACCTGCACAGTGCCAGACACAGGAGTGCACACAGATGTACTAAAGTGTCACAGAATGTCCACTTACACAGTGCCAGACACAGGAGTGCACACAGATGTACTAAAGTGTCACAGAATGTCCACTTACACAGTGCCAGTCACAGGAGTGCACCCAGATATATTTCAGTGTCACAGAATGTCCACTTACACAGTGTCAGGAACAGGAGTGCACGCAGATGTATTAAAGTGTCGCAAATTGTCTACTTACACAATGTTAGGCACAAGAGCGCACACAGATGTATTTAAGTCTCACAAATTGTCCACTTACACAGTGCCAGGAACAGGAGTGCGGACTGATACAGTAGAATTGTATCCCTTGATGGAACGACTGACGTCGGAATGACAGAGCCTGCCTTCCGGGGAATACAAACTCGCGCCCACCAAACTCTGGCTGAGCAGACCAGCGGAGGGCGTGGTGTCGATCATGAGGTTGATGTGTTCTCGCATGCCACTGGCGTACAGCTGGCACTGAAACCACATAAACTTAGCCATTTATTCAAATAATTAGTTGGCCTTGATTATATCATTGGTTTACCTGAATGCTCATGAGTTGTCATGTGTGTGTTTGCCAATTAACAGTGAATTGATAAGCAAAAAAAAGCCAAGTAAATTCATCACCCTTTAACTGGACTAGGTCACCCATTGCTAATTGCAGAATAAAATTAGAATGTTGGTGGAGCTTGCATCGTCAACTTAGAACTTGAGGTTAAACAAATTGAATAAACGGTTGAATCTGTAGGTAGATAAATACAAAGGTAAAAAATTTAAAACTGTTAAAACTACACAAGCATTTGTAACCAATGCTTCTGACTTCTGTATTATTTATTAGTTACTGGTATTAATTTTGAAGTTTGTGCAATATTGGGAAACATAAATAAAATATTGAAGGAGATGCAAGTTCCTTCCAATAAGTGAATGCAACAATTAAATTAGGTTTTAATGGAAAAATCTGAATATAAATTGCAAGTTCCTAATTTCGAAAGTTTTATGAATGAACAAAGTTGAAACAAATGACATTGTCTATTTAAATCAAGGTACAAAAATAGGAACAACATTGAATGGAAACTAAATTTTTTATCTAACTCTTTTACACTTGAAGCTCTAGGTAACAGTTTAACACGTTGACTCCAAAGTGGTACATATGCGTACCACCAAAGTTATTTCTCCAGGACGAGTGGTACATAATTCAGGTTGCCTAAAATCAGCCAAATCCGAGAACAAAAAAAGCCGATAACTCAATATATAGTACTAGTTTATTTGTAGGTTCCGCTATAAAAATTTCATTTATTTTCTTTTTGCAGTATTTAAAATTCAATTAGGAAGTACCCCTATCACAAATTTTAGCCGGCCAACGCAATTGAGAAAAACTAAATCACGGAATTTGTCCGGAAAATATGACCGTCTGGCAACCCTGTTTAAAAACAGTACCTACAAAAAATGAAATAATAGTACAAGATGAAGCAATCGGAGTCAAAGTGTTAACATACCAATAATGAGACCCTTTGATTGAAAATACCTGATATTTTGCTTATGAACAGAATAATATAAAGTTCACAACACCAACATACACACACACAATTTAAACTTCTTTTTGGACACACAATTAAACTGATTTTTCTACACATAATTGAAATTGTTTTTTGGACACACAATTAAAAATGATTTTCAGTCATCACTGAATATTTTAAAAATGAAAAGCCAAATTTTCCAAAAGTCTCAGGTAAATGCTTAGTAATCACACCTAAGCAACCAAATTTAGCTAATTTCTAAAAAAAGTTGAGTATTGACAGAACGAAAAAATGTATATGCTCACAATAATTATTCATCATTGGGAGGTACAGTAGTTTATTGATAGTACCCTACAAACAAAAGCTCACAGCATCAGCAAAAGTGTAGACAAAGTTTGGCTCTTTGCTGCCTTGTTGGTGTAACCGCAGCTTGTAGAAATCACCAGACTTGGAAAGCTTCTGCAACAAATAAGTTGAAGATTACATATACATGTCAGTAACATGGTTTAATTCAAATTTACAAACAATATGAATTTCTAAATATTAACACAAATAAAATAAAATGAGACAATGCAAACAATTTTTAGTGTAGAAATTGATAAAGAAGAATTAATAATAATTCTCAAGTTTAATTTCAAATGTAGTAAAAATGAAGCTAGGTACAAGATAGTCAACTGTATGGAACAGGGAGAAAATATCCAAACAATCTATTGTGAGACTGGTTGTATCAAATTTTAATGCCACTTATGTTGCCACAACACTTACTATATATGTCACTGGCCTTCAATAGAAACAATTTACTTTATATATGATCTATATAACAATTGAACTACATTTTCCTAGTAAGAACAAAACTGCTAAGCATTATGTTGTGATCACACCCAATAAATTTTAGTTTTGGCCAGTAGGTATTATACATTTTTTACAAGAGACAAGTTAAGTGTAGTATCTGTTGAGTCTTGACTCATGTGTCATTGGAAGTAGATAACTACGAGTTGGTTCTCACGGTCTCACCTGAAGGCTCTTGGAGAGTTTTTCATTCCAGGGACGAGTATGAGAAATAGAAACTTGGCCAAGTTTTGCACTCCTCACTGTAACCAATGATCGTTCCTCCCATGTGTTCCCTTCTTCACTTGTGCTGCTCAGATTATCTTCGATGACAACAATCAGCTGCCCATCCAGAGCAAGTCCATCCTGCACACAAAAAATTTGCTGATGATATTCAATCATAAATATATATTTATAACTTTACTAAAAAATTACCATATTTTCTGCGCAAGATCATAAAGGTTGATTGGAAATCATCTTTGTTGTTGTGATTCTGGTTTTATGAGTCATTTAAGAATGATGTTCCACTTCTAACTGAAAAAAGACACTTTTGCCATGTTTTCTTGAGCTTTTTCAAGCCTTAATTTGGATCCACATGTCTGTTCTCAATAATAAATTACTCTCTTGGCGGCTTGGCCTAGGGAAATTCAAGGTGGAAAATTAGGCTAAAGCCACCCATGAATTGGACAAAAACAACTGTGAATCTGGCCAGTTTCACTCATTTCCATGGCTTATTCTTGATTTTTTCAATAAAACATAAGAAAAACAACTTTTTCATCAGCCTTCTAAAAAAATTCCCTGTGAAATGGCTGTTATCACATGAAATTTTAGGAAACTTCTGTCTGACGTTCCAAATCAGTCATAGGAGGGTTGTAGATCTGAATTAATCATGAAACACTCCCACATCAAACATAAATTAAATACTTTTTTAAAAGCATTCATATTGCCTACAATTTGGTTGTAAATGTATTATATACTTAGTATGTACAGATTTTTAGAATCCATTCATTTTTTATTTCCTCATCTAGCTCAACCAGAACCAGTCAACCTTTATAGCCTACTACCACTCTAGTATGGAATATATCTACTTGGCAAGCCGTGACTGAATTTTTCGAGCCGTGGTTTTATGGATTTGCCAGCCGTGATTCCATTTCTACGAGCCGTGATTCTATTTCACCAAGCCGTGAATTCCATATCTCGGCCATGAAAAGCCATTTACGAGGTGCGAATGCGAATTTATTTACAAAGTTTATGCACGTGTTACCCCAAATTTCTAATTTTACCCTTAAACAGTCAAACGGCAACAATAAAATTTGTCTCTACTGTAAGTTCAGCACGTGTTAATATACAGTCTGACCGCTTTGACATGACCGCAACTATGCGCGATCTTCAACAAACGTTTTGTTTATTTGTTTACATTACGATGTTTATGTTTTTTCTGCAAGATATTTTTGGCGGAAACGGTAAAGCAATGCGGATTGCGGAAGTTGAAAATTTTATGAAATGACATGTTTGCGAAGTGCAAACCGCGATTTTTTAATCAAACAAAAATTTATGACATTCGAGCCGCGAGATTTCATACCTACTGAAATTATATGATATTAGAGCCGCGATATTTCAGACAAAAATAGGACTTTTCCAGACTAGCTACCACTAAAGTACCAGTAGTCCAGTACTCAGGGTATATAGGTCAACATTATATTGATAGGGCAACATTTGCTTATAAAACCAGGAGATTTATAATTTAATTAGAAAAAACTGTACTAAATAAGTAAAGTTATTGATCGATGGGCTCATTCGGCATCGGCTAGTCTCAAAATGCTCACCTGGAAGTTTTGACACGAACAGTGTTGAAATAAAACTACTAGCAATAAAGTGATCAGTTTCATTGTGAGAGAATAAGCTATTATTAGAAAAACTTGGTTATGATTACTTTGGAACCACAAGAGCCTGATACGTTAATCTGAATAAATTAGTTCAATGTTCAGGTTTGACAAATAAATTTTCCGTATAGCCTACCCGGGTTCGGTAATCGGTATTAGCTTAGATTTCAACCATGAAATCCAGGTCCGTAAGAGCGGAACGTAATTTTTTGTTGCGTTGTATTTTCAAAAAGATTGGGTATTTTGATATTTTCATATGTATTAAAAAAATTTTGAGATTTTAATTCAAAGTTATGAATAATTTCAATGTAAAGACTTACTAAGATTCATAACTAGATCGACAGTTGTTCGGAAAATCTGGGAAGTAACGTAGGTGATGATTATTATAATAGAATATAATAAAAGTGTCGGCATTGAAGAAAATAGGCCCAATAAATTAGTTCAATGTTCAGGTTTGACAAATAAATTTTCCGTATAGCCTACCCGGGTTCGGTAATCGGTATTAGCTTAGATTTCAACCATGAAAGCCACGTCCGTAAGAGCGGAACGTAATTTGTTGTTGCGTTGTATTTGCAAAAAATTGGGTATTGTTATATTTTCATATGTATTAGAAAAATTTGAGGATTTTAATTCAAAGATATGATTTATTTCAATGTAAAGACTTACTAAGATTCATAAATAGATCGAAAGTTGTGCGGAAAATCTGGGAAGTCACGTAGGTGATGATTTTTAGAAGAGAATATAATAGAAGTGTCGGCATTGAAGAAAATAGGTCCATGGCCTGCTGCCGATTCTTGAATTTTTCGTGACTTGATTCACAAGGGATCCGGCCTTTGGAACCCGATCTTTCCATAACTGACGATTGATTGGAATAGCTGCTGGACTTAGTGCCTGGTTCGTAATTTGCTAGACATTTTAAGACTGAACAAATGCTCCTGCATAGCTTGTCTAGTCTGTTTTTGAAGACGTTCATACTTGGAGCGCCAACGATGCTATCAGGAAGGCTGTTCCACTTGTCGGTGACTCGAAGCGAGAAGAAATTTTGTCGCATGGATGTGATATAACGCAGTCTTTTTAGTTTATAGCCGTGTCCCCTGGTGTTGGTTCCAGTTTCAAATTCTAGTAATCCTTCTGGGACATTGTATAAGCCATGAGTATACTTGTATGCTTCAATGAGGTCCCCACGCAGACGTCGACAACTGAGGCTTGGAAGCTTTATAATCCTTAATCTTTCCTCATAGCCCCATAGGACTTGCCTTTCAAGCCCGGAACTATCCTTGTTGCGCGTCTTTGAACACTCTCTATTAAATTTTTGTCATTTTCAAATTTCGGTGACCACACGACGCATCCCAACTCTAGGTTCGGGCGCACGACAGCAACAAACAACTGCTTCATAGCTTCTGCATCTAGGAACTCGAAAGAGCGTCTGATCAGAGTAAAAATAAGATACTGAGATATTTCAGAATTAATTTTGTAGCACTTAATTTTACTTATAGGCACATAAAATATGCAAGCATGTCATTAAACTTGTTAAAATTGCTTGTTAAACTTGTTAAATTAGTTATTCCGTTAAAATTTTTTTTTTCTGACCGGGTGTGTTCTGATTAAGAAGAAATTTACGCCAACAAAGGAAATAGTGAAGTTCGTCATCATGTAGCGAATATTACGACACCTATCTTAATTTCTTATCAGCTCAGTCAGATGTAGTAGATTTCCTGCAATATCTTTCGCCTTTATTGTCGGGGTGATAATAATAATAATAATGATAATAATAATAATAATAATAATAATAATGATAATAATAATAATAATAATAACAATAATAATAATAAATAAAAAAACATCAATATAGACATATCATATAAAATATAAACAAAAAAAATCATAGGTAGAGACAATTCTATATGTATAACCTAAAATCGTTCTTCGTTTGCTTCTATAAACTTTCTAGCCAAGCCGATCTAGATTGCTTTCATTTGGAAAACTTGTTAAAAGCCTTCATTTAAATGTCCAATATCTCACATAAATTCATAAGAAACATGCTCTGTCAAGGGGGTATAATTTAAAGAATATGTCAAGCCATAGCGAGTGTAGAAACCTATATTTTGGTAAAAAATTTAAACCTTTTTTAAAACAGTTTTCCGCTTGCAAACAATTCACATTGGAAACCTTCAGCGTTTTTGGTATTCATAGACATGATTGTACAGAAATCTTAATGTAAATCACACATTGCTCGTAATTTCTGAATGAACAGAAAACTATAGAAGCTTTTAAAATATGTAATACAAGAGTCCTTGTTATCTGTTAATCTGAGTTGAGCCAATATTTGAGTGGGTGTACGATGGACATCGGTGCACGCAGAGACGGCTGTTCTTGAATTTTCTATGTTATTATTAATCCCAGTTTTTTATTATTGATAATTCAACTTTTTCCCATATGACAAATAAGTATACAAAATTGGAATTCTAACTACCAAAATATTATACCTACCAAAATATTACACCCACCCCCCTTGAGCGAACAACGCATTACACGCGACATCTAGGACAGAAGACAACGCATGATATAAGGTTATTCGAAATCAGTCACATTCTAAGTTTCGATTTGACGAGTAGGGAAATTTTTACGACTGTGCCGTGACCACAATCCCCCCTGCGTGTACGATATCATATCGAGCTCAACCCTTTGGCATTATGCTGAGATTTTTGTTCAGGACTCGAGCTTTATAGTCGAACTAGCGCGTTTATGCTGCAGGCTCCTCGATAGCGACCCCTTCTACGGGATTTTACGAGTCTATTCTAAACAATTGAAGGCGGAGTGAATGCCAAAATTTTACCATAAGATGCACTGACGTTTCAATAACTATTAATGTTTTTAATTTAATTTTAGGAATATAATCTATAAATGTATACTGTATAAGCAAGCATCACATAAATTTCCAAGACTATCACTTTGTTAACTAAACCTACCGAATTCTCCGAAATAAACTAAATTGTACTGGATAAAAATGTATATTATGAATTATTTAATGATGAAATTAAAAGGAAACTTATGAGAAAGTATCTGCATTGAAATTATTAAATTTTGTTTCATTAAAGTTAGTCATTTCCTCAGGATTAAAAGTCAGAAACTCAAGCTCTACTGAAAAATTCGCCGTAAAAATTTCAAATAATTTAAAAAATTGCCAACAATATCTTTTTCTACAATGTAGCCTTGCGTAAAAACACTTGACCGGTTTCAAATTGTTTATAACCTGTCCCACCACAAATTCCTGTCCTGACAAGGAATTTAAAAGCAGAGAAAACACCAAGCAAATTCACCATATCGATATTGAGAACGTTTCGGAGTCCAGCTCCTTTATCAGTTCGAAAAACTAAAAATGAATAAAATCATATTATTATATCAAAATTCTATGACAGACATAAAACCTAAACAAGACCTAAACATTATTAAAAAAACAGACTGATAATATAAGAACTTATAGTTTGACCTGATGAACCTCTCCGTGCCTCACCAAACATCTTTCCTATTCGCGCTATAATTTTGCTATTGCACTTTACATTACTGTAAATAATTACAAATCTTTTGCCCTTCGCAATTTCTTTTCATAGGCTGAGGAACGTCGTTCTTAAGCGTTCTTGACGCCTGGTAAGTCAGCATCATGTTTTTTATTATTTTAACAATAATAAATTTACAATAATATCTTGGATTTACACTTAAAATATTACAGTCATTAGTGAATACTTAATCAAAAATTGTCTTGTCACTTCGTAGATTGTAGAAAGCAGCCAGAAATTTCGTTTATATTGTTGTGAAATTTCATTAGTTTCAACAATAAAATCCTCACCTCATGCAAAAACGCTTAAACTTTATAATGTTATAGTGTAGTTGAACATCACAATTTTATTCGATGGTTCGTTGCTTATATTTCCCAACTGCAGCCTACCAAGTACGCAATATTTCCGAACTGCAGCCAACCAAGTACGCAATATTTCCGAACTGCAGCNACCGATAAATGGTAGATAGGTTTGCGGCAACTATAACTAAAACGCCTTCATTGGTAAACTTTAGAACATTTGAATTTAAACCATCCCGATGTAAGATACGCATTTGCCGCATCCCACTCTACGCTTTTTGTTTTCATCTCCTATCCGAATTTTCAGGATAGTCTGAATTTTAACCTCATGGAAGAACATTTTCACAAACAACTGATAAAGTTCTACAAAATCGCAATAACATAGTAATAATCGGATTTAGACAATGAACAAAAATTTTCAAACTATTTTGACTAGTTCTGATCTCTGCACTGCCACTTCATCATCCAAACATTATGAATTTGCCTAACAACAAGTTATCCATCCCGTTCTCAATATTGATAAAATACTCGTATAAAACCACTAATAATGTATTTATTTCATTTATTGTTTGCATGAAAAAAGAGTTCTGTGTAAACATCTTCTGATTGCTAAAAATGACTCACGTATCATATTCATTTAATAGCCAAGATTGCACAAGAGCTTGCATCGTATACTCAGAGAAATTAATAACACTTTGTCCGAATAGTGATGCTGTTGGTCATATTCACCCAATTTTGCCTGGTAAAAGGATATATCTATGCTACGCGCAACAAGTGTGTCGCTATAATAATATTATTATATATAGTAATAATATATAATATAATATATCCAAATTTCAATTTTAAGTGTTGTAATAACTCTTCACTTGCTTGATTATGGATATTGATATATTCGAAACGTCGCATTGCAGTAAAATGTCATTTGGTAATCTGCTTTTTGAACTCCAAGCACCTGCAAGAAATTTCGTTCGGTTTATTGAAAAAAAAAAGAAAATTGTTAACAAAAAGTACGCTGTGATCTTCAATCAAACCTCTATAATAATATCTATATATAATAACAAATAATAATCAGCAATACATAGTCAACCTGGACTGAGTTTAAGTTCCCCTTTACCACTAAAGGAATCGAAAGAAGCGAGGCAAGGATAAGACTTAAAGTAATCCGACGCGTGTTTTTATTTGGGTTGACACACATAAAAATTATGACTTAGTGATCTCGGGAGTTCACTTATAGGCTCGGGCATCGCAATTGTGATTGTCTCGCCTGATAAAGAAGCAAAATCCCAGCAGCAGCGGCAAGAATTCAACG